CTGAAATTCAGGTAAGGTAAGGTCCGAAAATTGCATGGGGTTTGCTTTTTCCAATTACAAGTATTTTCATTTCTGCTATGCATTAGATGGATGGAAGGACCGTCCTGGGTTTTGATGTCACGAGATTCTTTTGCGTTCCAAGCAGTCCTTCTCATTGATCTTGCGAGCATCATGTTCTCGTTACCTCTTCTTTCGGTTCGTTGCACTCTATTAGTCCCTCCATCACTTCATCTTCAGAGACAGAAAACTGGGATTGCATCATACGTATCGGGTATAACATTGTTTTTTGCGCGTCTTTCTCATGGCTGGCTATCCCTCTATACCGCGCAGGATTTTCAGTCGATAATTGCCGAATGTGTCTATTCGTGATCCTCAAAAGTTGGGTTCCTTGGGCCCTCTCATGATAAGATGGAAAGGTTGAAATCGCTTTTTGGGGAAGTTAAACAAGAGAGTCGCGGAAAGCGAGAAAGGCGCAAGAGCTAGGTACGGAAGAGGTGAAGACAGCCAGGAAAAAGATTCTAACAAGCACCGAGCATATTTCGGAAGCAGCACTTGTTCAAACAGTTTGATAGCGGCACGGCAAAGAGAATGTATCCAATGGCGCCGTGATTATCCCGTCACTTGAGGTTTTTCTAATCATTTTACCCTTTTGAGGAGCGTTAAAAAGTGGAACCTTTACGTGAGGAACGAAAGGAGTTTGCCAGTTACTTGAACACAGCTGAAGTTCTCGATAACAAGTATTAGTCTTTTCCGAATTTGTTCTTGTCATTTTCATGTTATCGCCTTGTGTTTGCTGTTGTCATTTCATTACATTACTAAGTTAAGTTTTGTGAGCCAGGCAAGGTTGGCGGTCAAGGTTCTGTTTTACCTTCGTCTCCTTGCCCTCCTGCACCCTTTTTTCCCCCTTTGCCATGGTTTGTAACCATTCCCCATCACTCCTTCCGTGGCATTACGCCATCCTTAATCGCTGTGCCATTCGCCGTATGCCACGCCAAATACCCTTCCGAAGATCACTTCTCATGGAGGTCGCTTTTTGTCCGCCTTCAAAGCTGCTCTGCTGGTTCCTCCCATCAGTCGCAGTTGCGAGTGTCATTTCCCCAGTACCCTGTGAGCTGACGCCTCGCTTCGATTTGCCAAGTAGATCCTTGTCATTTTGACACAAAAGCGCGACGGAGAAAGACAGTAACGAGCTTGTAGAACGTCAGCTTGTTCCACATGCTTTCCTCACAACACCCGTTCCGAGTTGACCAAACCCTTCAGCTCAAGGGACGGAACGGGAAAGAAGGAACCTCAAAGGGTTTTAATAATGTGGTGGCACACCAGACTGTGATGAAGACCGACGTGTAACGGAGGCGTTATTATTGCCATTGTTAGATGATCCAAACGATGGGTCAGGTGGAAGGGAGGCAGAAGCTGCCCCTAAGGCTGACGCAGAAGTGACCGCCGCCGCCTCAAATGTGGGAGCGGCGGCAGGAGAGGGAGTAGAAGAAAAAACAGTAGCAGGATCGCCATGCTGCTCTGGACTTGTTTCATCATTAGTAGTAGGCTGCTGCGATGGAGAGTTGGTCCCCGTTCCCATCATCAACAAGGGAGACGTCTCTTCATATGCAGGTGGTGGTACCTGATCTTGATCTGTCATTTCGGGCGCCGGACTGTGGATGGTACTGTGTCCCGGACTGGGTGAGGGATACCTAGTCATGCTTGGAGATGTCGGCGCAGTGGTGGCGGCGCTCTGGGTCATGCTGGTGCTCAACAGGCTGGTGCCGACACTACTATATCCTGGCTGGCTCAGGTGGCTCAAGTGACTCTGGCTGTGTATTCCAGATCCGTCCTGATGGTAGTAATGTACCGGTGGGGGTGGCTGTAAGCTTGCCTGTGATCCCGACGGTGGCGATGATAGAGTTTGTTGCGAGAAGGTGGTATGGTAATTCCAGGGAGCCATGTTTCGCGTTTCTACACCGACGTACGCAGCAGTACTGGTTCCTTCGCCGACGGCGGACCCTGCCGCTATTCCTGCCCTCGCGGCTGGACCCGCCGACGCTTCGTTTCCATAGCCATGATAACTATTTCCACCCGCTTCAAGATCAACATCGCCACCTTCTTCCGCAACTGGCTGCTTCTCATATGGCGGCGGCGCCTCGCCCAGTTCATTTAGTCCTTCCTCGGGTCTGAAGATACCTGCCCAGTCCCATCTCCTCATTGCCGTCGACCGAGAACCACCCCATGCCACGCCCCCCGTTCCTGATCTCGAGCCAGTATTGTTACGTCGCTGTGTGGGCGCCCCACGCACCCAGGACTCCTGAAGGTCACGCTCGATCAATGCCAACGAAGGGGCATCGACCTCACGAACTCCGAACTGAAGCTGCCCGTCACGACTGTGGCTTATCGATGCTTGGTGGGCGGAAGGTCGTCGTGCCGGGGTAGAAACACGAGAAGTCTTGTGGTTACCGAGGAGTTGTTTGCGTCGGCGGATGTGAAGACAGAGGGCCAAACCGCCCAGTACGATGACAAGGCCGACGGGGATCATCACCCAGACCCAAGGGTGGTTGTTATCATCATCACCATCATCGGTTATTCCTGGGGGGAAGCCCCCGAACCCTGACTCTGAGGACATCTCGGTCTATATCTCTGTCCGAAACTGGCGGGGTCGAAAGGAGGTGCAGGGGCCGCGGCGAAAGCTGGAGAAGAACTATGTTCAGGGGTCGGTGAGACAGCTTAGGCTGGAGCTCCAACTTCAGCTCCAGAGCGAGTGATAGCCGAAGAAGTGTCGTTCTGTCGTATCCTTTGAAGTTGTACTCGCTCGCTTGCGCCGTATTTTTTTTTTTTTTCTTTTTTCTTTTTTTTTTTTTATTTCGACTCGGGTTAGCAAGAGATTAGCGGAGGGAAAATGCGGCAAGAGCTTTGTCGGCTGGCAGATCCCCTCAAGGGCTATCAAGGTAGTAAAAAGGAAGGGTGCTTTCGTAGTCAATTCATGACTAGTCGTGGCAGAGGTAGTCTTGAGTAGCTGGAATCCGTACTGTATGGTGCTGTGGTACTGTTGGCGGTACTTTCTTTTTTTTTTAGGTTGTGACGCGGGATGCCGTAGATGAACCGGGAGCGCTGACATTACTCGATCTGACGGCAAATGGTGTTGATGTCGATACCATGACTGGGCCGGTCAGCGCTGGTTTTGATGTTCACAAGAAGGAGAGAGGGGGAGCTGGAGTCGGGGAGAACATAAGTAAGATGAGGGATGGAGGTCGGTCGACAGCGGTACGTGTGATGATGGAGTTGAATGCCGGTCCGCGCAGCTCGGGGCCTTGGGCTGCTGTAAGTGGACAATGGGAAGCTGCGGTTGCTGGTGCGTGAAACAACTGTCCAGTGACAGCCCGAGTGCTTCACTGCAGTGGTCTTTTTGGCTTACCTTAGTTTTGTGAAGCCGGGGGATACTGTGATCTGCAATGCAGGGTAGCACCTGAGGTTGCAGTCGATGGAGGTAATTTCACCAACTGCCCAACCTTATTATCTGGGTGCGGTGCGGGCATTCTGACTGCAGCGCGGGTCACTACACCGCAGGATTGACGGCAGCCAGACGACACAACTTGTACGGCAACGGCAAGTGCAGTGATGAGGCATGTCTTGGCCCTGGTCTTCTTCTCGCGCTTCCAGAACGCCGTCTTCAGAGGAAGGAAGCACCGCCATGTTCAAGAATGCGGGCTTCGTTTGCGATCACATTTTCAACAGTTCGTCGGGTCTTTCACTCTTGTCACATTTCAGTTTGGTGTAACAAGGCGCTACCGGTTATCGAGCTCCCGATGCACAGAATCTGAAACCGCCATCGGCAAGTCGTACCTAGTCACCTCTATTTGCCCTCGTCATATCGACGTTTTTTTTCTTTTTCTTTTTTTCTCAAGACGGATAAACGACTGGACATGGCATGTTTCGACCGGGTAGGGTATGTTCGTTTGCTGCACCTATTTCATCATTGTTAGCCAACGACATACTACCTCGGTCCCCGCGCCGCAATCCAGGAGCAAACAAGAGGGTTTTGGGCCTCCCTGGACAGAAGAGATATTTCTTGACCTCCATCGCAGCTCCCTGCCCTGGATCCTCGTGAAATACATACTCCCAACTCTCAGTCTAGGTACCACTCAGTATCCGCACCCAATATCCGAGCCATACTATCACTAATCTGAGCTTGCGATTGGCACGAGTTTTGAGATTCGATCTCCGCTCCCACGCTGGCACTCTCAAGCGAAAAGGTGGGGTGGTTTACTGCAAGCGGTTAAGCCTTCCCGCCCAGCGATCCCTGGCAGCGCCCAGGGCCCGAAACGGCCACACAATGTGGGAAAGTGGTTACAGGATTCGTTTTTTTTGAGACGCCATCGTCCCCCCTTGCCTGTGACTGCTTTGATCACATTCGGGGTTTCCATCAAGATCCAATGTGATCATCCAGACCAGCCGGCCACTCATCGACGAATTATTTGTTGAAGCTTGTTGGTAAGGGAATGTGAGAATCATCCATACACACTGTTCTTGCAATTGAGGTTGAAGTGAAGGTCATAATGCCCTCATCATCTAGGTATTCATCTGATCTGGAGGGACAGCACCTGAATTGAAGGTTCAGTAGAGGTATAATTGCGGGTATGTAATCGCAAGGCAAGTTTTCTGACCTGAACCCGTACGTACGCAATGTTCCGTATTCTGCAAGCGTACCTAGGTACCCGTGTCTGCCGCTGCTTCTCCATCACTTCATGCCAGGTTACTCGCGTCGTTACAGAGAAGGCGCTGCCAACAAATTGTACGCTCAAACGCTGTATTTGAATTACCATACAGCAACACAAACCCATTTCTTCCATGCCAACCATCTAACGATCCACCCATATCCCGACCAACCAACCACCAGCACAGCCCGATACATTCCAAAACACGTCGCATACGACATTGTTGTCAGAGCATATACCCAAAAAGCCAACTTGATGAGGGCTACGGCGACATAAAAAAATCACAAGACATTTTGCCATCCCGCCAGAAACTACAGCTATTCAAGATGCCGAGAGCAATCAGAGGTCAGTATGAATTCCCATGAAATACCATATAAATGACGTGTACATGGACTCGTCTAGTCAAGACTCATGAGCAACAGCACAGCACGACTCTAACGCAAAACGAATATTCACCTTGCTAACACTGGTCCCTGGCTCAGGTGTACTCATCCAGTGCGAACCAGCCATCAAGTCCATCATCGTTCACTTGGATAGTGTTAACAACGATATCATCATCGAAGATCTTGATGAGCAGACTCTGGTTGTTAAGGAAAACATGGTGCAACTGCTCAAGCAGAAACTCGAGGACGTAAGTCATTTGCTTCCCCTTTGCCATGTCCAGTGTGACCGTTTGGCCCGCATTGTGAGCTAAATATCATGTCTGATTATATCACCTTCCTCTTGCTGACACCATCCTACCTATAACAGCGCCTGAAGGAAACATACAGGCCCGAGGAACCGCTGGCAGATAGTGACTAGGAGTTGCCTAGTAGATAGGAGATGCATATGTAGTGACTTGAAGTCGCCGAACCCCCCTGAATTACATGCATTTATTTATACACCTTCAACACTGCGTAACAGTTACCAGCCGCGATGGACTACTTGATCCTCTTTAAAGCTTCGAAAAGACGGGCTTCTTCTTCTGCACACTAGCCGATAACGCGTCCATCATATCTCTTGTTTGCAAAGCAGCCGAGTTCCACACGGTGGTATACCGTAAGCCTGTGTCAAAATTATCAGTTTTGCCTTTTCTTCACGATAACGAGCAATGAAGAGGAAGAGAAACCAAGCAGGAAAACGTACTTTCAGAAACTGAATGGTCCCTTGCGTGGTTCAACAACTCCTTAGTTCCCTGCACAGCAATCGGGCTCTTCCCAGCAATCAAGCCCGCCAGCTTGACCGCCTGATCCAGGGCAGCCACCTTGCTGTCGAGAACTTGGCTGACAAAGCCGACCTGTTGCGCCTCGGTCGCGCCAAACTCTCTTGCCGACATGCATACCTCCTTCACCCACGAGAAGTTGCCGACGGCCTTGGGCAGCCGGCTCAGCGTGCCAATGTCGGCGGCCAGGCCGATGTCGACCTCCTTGACGGCCAGCCGGACGTCACGCGTGCAGAGCCGGATGTCGGCGGCGCAGGCGATGTCGATGGCGAGGCCGAGGGAGATGGCGTGGAGGACGACGATGACGGCTTCAGGGAGTTTCTGTAGGTTAGCAGAATTCGCATGTACTGGTTCATTGGCTTGACGTATATGTATCACCCTGGGTAACCAAGACTGTAGTGACAAGTCGGCACCGTCAATACATACGTTTCTCGCACAGTTCAATAGCCGAAATGCTATCCTGAAATTCAGTAATGTATCTTCTCAACTGGGCCGCCTTGCGCCCGACGTCGAGGGCGCCGCTCGACTGCAGCTGGTTGTTCGAGCTGGCCGCGTGGATGTCCAAACCCGCCGTGAAACCCCGGTCGCCGGCGCCCGAGAGCACCACGGCCCGCACGTCCGGGTCCGACGACAGCTGCCGGAAGACCTGGCCCAACTCCAGCCACATGGCCTCGAAAAAGGCGTTAAGTTTGGCAGGACGGTTGATCTCCACGTGGACGACGAAGGCAGGCCCGGCGGAGGTCACATTGAAGTGTTTGTAGGATGTATATCCTTTGAGTTGGGGTTGTTGTTGCGCCATCGTGGTGCTGCGGGGCTGGTTTTCTTCAAGATGGGGATTCAAAGACAGGATTGGGAGCGATGATGTGAGAAAACGGATTGGAAAAGGGCACGTATGTGTGTGAGGTTCTCAAGTGCAAACAAGTCGAATGAGAATACGCTGCAAATGGTTCTGAGGATGATGATGATGATGATGATGATGATGATTATTGGTAGATATTGGGATGCATCTTGATGGTGGTACCCTAGGCAAATAGGAAATAGTTGTTGACTGATACGTTGTCAAAATTGCCGAGGTTCAGCGGCCGTTAAACGGTCGGGTAAGAAGCGATGGGACGGCCGGGAAGCAGTGACGTTGAAGAACCCGACGCCGGAGCCGGCAGCCACATCGGACCAACTGAACAGGATCATACAAGACCCATTGCGGGGGAATTGAGTGCAGTAGTAAAAGTGGGTGATCCCACCCTTCCGAACATCTTTGGATCTCTCTGTGCTGTCTATTGCTCTTAAAAAAGACATGTGAACAGTGTTCAAGATTTAGCATCTCTATAGACCTCAAACGCGGTCTTTGCACTCTGTCGTGTGCATCTTCAATCGCGCAATTGTAGATGAAACCGAAAGCGACTTGCATCAGAGAGACATCGATGCCGATTGAGAAGCTGACACCACCAAGCCAGAAGAAAAAAAGAAAAAAAATAATAAAAAGAAGAGGGTGCCGCTCACTACCCCTCCTCCAGTGCCTCGCATTCCCGGTGGGTACTCGTTGTTGGGTAGTGGCGCTTATCATCCCTCCCAGGGTTACCTTGGATGTGCAGATGGGTGATTAGGTACTATGCGCCGGCCGGACTCCAGGTTACACTACGTACCGTGACCACCTAACCTGAAGCGTTGTTAAAAACTCCAACCCGCCGACAGTGCAATGTGATGCATTCCCTTGTTGTGCCTGTTGATAGGAAACGAGGACTTGAGCTCGAGTCAGTTTGTGCACGAGCGGCAGTTTCGTCCATAGAAGAAGATAGCGGAAAATCCCATATGTGGTGGGGATGCCACTTTCGCTGATTACCGTATGAATTTGTGTTATTACCTAGAGGTACCTACTTGACCTGCCTTGCCCTGGCATGTATACATTGAAGAAGTCTTGGGAAAAGCCGGCAAAGCATATGGTGGAGATGGTGGACATGTCTGACATGATGGGCGGTATTAAGGGGAAGACGGAAGCAGCCTTTTTGCCTTGACAGGGGATGCTGCTTCTTCAAGCATCGTGAACTGTGAAAGAGAGCTGTACCTGCCGCTCCGTCTCCAGTGCCGCCTGGCGCGGGACCAAAAGGCCACGCGAGCACCTAACGCTTACCAACTCTGTAATGTAGAGGTACCTAGGCTCCTCTCCCGGTGATTTTACCTGCAGCAACTATCAGCGTTCCCACCGAGCCCACCACGGACGAGTGAGGTGATCCATGACAAGCACGCTCCGTGGATGCCCAGCGGCCCAATCACTATCGCATTCCGGCCGCTCGTCTGGCCCTCATCGACACCTCATTGGCGCCCCCAAAGGCTGAATGGTTCAAGGACCAGGCCTGATTGTGACTTTTTCCAGCCTACCATTCCATTCCCTGGAACCCCAAACTTGCGACTCGACGACATCCTTTTCTTAGCTTCAAAGTTCCTCCGAACCCCAGGCTCTGTCGAGCTCGTTTTCTGTCTCACCCTCCCACGCTCCCTCCCCCTCCCGACCGCGAGCGCGCAATCTCGACCTCAACAACACTTTGGCTTGCTTTGGCCCAAGGAGCCACTCGAGCCTCGATAGCCAACGGTTTCGCCCTTGTGTGACGCTCTGTGGGCATCCGCTTAGCTGTCCCATTCGCTCTACCTAATCTTTTCTCGCTTCCTCGAGATACGACATCCTGGGGCCATCCCCCCCCCGTCCCTCGATCCGCTACCCGTCGCCGTCACTGTTCGCTTTGATCGTCGCCGTCGCCATCGTCCTGCCGTGCACGACAACCCGCCTCCTGATATTGCTCACCACCATATCCGCCTCGCCCGCCCTCTATCGCAATCGCGACGCCGTCTCCATATTTTACATACGCAGATCCCTCAAGACTTTTGCCTTTGCGGTACATTCAAAGGAAACCGGCCTCGGTAACGAATTGCACACGCCGCTGCTCATTTTCGATTCGGAGCCTTGTCCGCCAACGATCGCTTGAGAGACATTGAGTCTGATCCGATCTGTCTCCTTTACACCCGTCTGTCACGGCTTGCGCGAGACTGGGACCTATATCTAGCTCCTACCCTACTGCTTGCGTCCTCGTTCAAGGCCTCAGAGCAATTCCCTTGATCGAATGATGGACATAGAACGAAAATAGTGCTCCTAAAAGACCAATTCTTCAACAAGCCAAAGCTGCCGCTTCCGCCAATTGCGTATCGCAACCTGGGCACGCGCTTTTGTGTTGCGACTGAGAGTTCTTGCACCGCCTCGACCTGTTTGGGCTTATAGTTTGACCTTAACTCGCCTTCCGATTGCCCACCCCCATTGGTCTCGACTCACATCGACGGGGTTTGTTAGTCGACGGTTACGCTTTCCATATCGCAACAAACGAGTGCGGCAATTGAGCAATCGCTGAAGATTTGAAGATGGCTGCGCCGGGTTCCAACAAGCCCGAAGTGGGCGACATTTTGGTGGTCATCCGTAAGTTCGTTTTTTATACCAGTCATAGCTCGACACAACACAGTTTCATCGTGGGGCATCTTTTTTCTCTGTTTTTTTCCTCTCTTTCTTCTCCGGAGCGTGTTTGTGTTTTAAAGATCCAACAGACGGCGCCACGTGGTGTCAAGGCTGTCGCAAACTTTAGATAAACAAGAGGCTGACCCGCTTATTTCACAGACGATTTTCAAGCTCGTAGTTCGGACGAGTTGAGCTTAACCAAGGGTGACCGCGTGGAACTGATTGAACGCGATGACGAATTCGGTGACGGCTGGTTCTTGGGAAAGCATTTGGCAAATGGCAACAGTGGTCTTTTCCCAGAAGGTATACACACCCCCTCCTATGTATAAGCCACAGAAGAGCTGCATGGCAAACAGCTCTTTCGTGCCCGCGCTGTAACTGACTTCGCCCTACAGTGTATACGCGTCCTGCACCCAAGCCCCATTCCAGCAGCCCGTCTCTCCAAAAGCCTGTTCTCGCGCCGCTGGCCGAGATCGTTAACGAGCAAACAGCAAATTCCACTTATTCTTACGGCAACTTCAACAAGATTGGGGAATCGGCCGATGAAACCTTACCGTTAAGCTCCTTCAAGCCAGCTTCAGCACCCGACGGCCCTGCACATTCGTTTCTCAGCAGTAGTTTGCCAATAGGGGGTATCGGACGCCCCGGCGCTGACAGCCACGTCCTACACGAGACTCTGAATGTGATCGACGAACACATTACGGATTTGAACTCGCCGCAAAGCAACGGAGCTCTTCGAAACACTGGCGATTCTGGTAGCGAATACAGCTCGCACATAGGCAACCGTGTCTCATACATTCAAGGCGAAGAAACAGATGAGGAGGAAGAAGGAAACCATTCACGAAGCGAGGTCGAATCCTGGTCTGCCGATCAAGTCGCCGAGTACTTGTTTACGGTAGGAGTGGAGAAGCACCACTGTGAGGTGTTCCGTGACCAGGAGATCACCGGAGAGGTCATTCTCGGGATGGATCAAACATCACTATTTATTAAAGCCTTTGATCTGGGGTCTGTGGGAAGACGGCTAAAAACTTGGCAGAAGATCAAAAACCTACAGGATGAGGTCAACGGAGAAGGGCCAGGCTCGCGCGTACTCAGCCAGACGTATGGGAGCGAGGTCGGGTCTGATGCACAAGGGAAGATGCGCAGCAGGACGAACACCCTCACAGGGTCGACTCCAAGGTACTCATCCAACACCAGCCAGTCTCTGTCAGTCCAGACAAAGCGCTCGTCGGAAACCCCCAAAATGGACCCTGTCCAGCCCGTGTCTCCAGTCTCACCTCTGATGGAGAGCCCAAATCGTATGTTTCACGAAAGGAGACCCTCCGCTGCAGACATCAGAGACTTGCACCACTCCCGTCGCCATTCCTCGACTGATTTCCGTCTAACAGGAGCATCCCCGGCCACCCCTAAAGTCTCAGGTGGAACGTTGCACGGAACAGAGGTGCCCCACAAGAAGCAACCGTCTTTCGACCGAAACTGGACGCTGGGCAGTGCAAGCAACTTTAGCCATTCCGAGTCCTCGGCCGGGCAACAAGATATTCTGGCTGTTCAGGAGCCTGAGATCCAGGATTCGGCAGTAGACTTGGATCGAGGCTACTTGTCAGGAACCGATGCCGATTCTCGGCAGCGGAACGTGCTGAAGAAGCGTGAGAGCAAGGTGCCTGCTCTCGCGGAATCGCCAAAGACAAGCTACACGGAAGAGCAGCGTGTGCGGAGCGCCACAACACTTTCTCGACAGTCACGGTTAGGCAGCATTGATTCCTCCCGTGAAGCAGTTGGCATCTTGCCTGCTGCACAGAAATACTACGGGCTGGTTAGGCGCACAGCTTCCACGGCCACCATGGAATCAGGTCGTCTCTCCATCGAACGCAACCACCCTACGGTTACCAAACTCGAGGGATCGCCGGAGCAAAGCAGGTCCTCTCCCAGATCGGCTCTCAAACGCCTGAGCCAAGTCAACCACCCGGACTTTAATATGGCCGGCATGCTAAAGAACGGCTTCGGCGGGCTACGAGCCGCCTCAGACGCGATCACGGGTACCGAACGAGCAAAAGTGGCGTCACCAGTGGACACGCCGTCCAAAGACTCGTCTATTTATTCGCCCACACGCACCGGCTCGACCACGCCCTCGGCCGGCCGAAGTTTGGATCTCGACCAGGAGACTGCCAAGAGTTTGAGCACCGTGGCAACCGCGGCCTCTGCAGCGAAACAAGCAGCAAACCGGAAGAAGACCAAGAAGGAGACAAGTGCTTATACGCGTGGTTTACAAAAGATCGGCCCACGAGAATCGATCAAGGATGCGGACTACAGTGGATGGATGAAGAAGAGGAGTGCCAACCTGATGACCACATGGAAGCCGCGACTCTTTGTCCTGAAGGGTAGACGCTTGGCTTACTATTATTCTGAAGACGACCAAGAGGAGAAAGGCTTAATTGACATTT